TGCATTCTCTACAAGTTAGCATAAAAATATTCAAGCCATTAAAGTCAAGTTGAATTATCAAAAAACTATACTTTTAATTGCAAATCAACAAGTCACTTTCCATCCTTACATTATGTCAGAAAGATTAGACAAGTTCCCAAAAGTAGTTTAAATCTAAAGAAGCAGGTTTAAAAGTATCAGTCTTTAATTTAAACTAAAGTTTAATTACCTTTACATATGGATTACTCTGAAGCAGAAATGCAGGAACTTGTAGTGTAAGGTACTCATTTTCCCTCCAGTTTAACATAAAAGCAACACACTCCTCAGCTATAACTTGGCGAAGAGGAATATCTAAAATGCAAAGAGCGAGTATCATGAAATGAAAATATAATTCAGTTGAAAAAATAAATCAATAAGGAGCGCTGCCTTCTGAGGTGGCCACTCTGCCGGACTGCTGAGGCCTCCGCTTACTGGAAGAACAGGAAGACTCGACCCAGGACGGACGGAAGCCGCCAGCGTGCCTGTTGTGCAGGCAGCCAGAGTAAGGCTACCCCTCCTGGTGAGATCAGTGAGCATGAGGACGTGACCCCCACCGCGGAAGAACTGAGGAATTTGCTAGGGGGGTACACCAAGAGACAGGGCCAATCCTAGCCTGAGGGGAAAAAGGATGTGGAGGTACCTTAATTATGCACTAAGAAGCATAGTCACGATTCATAACAGTAGCGAAGTTACAGTGATGAAGCACAACGAAAATAATTTTATGGTTGGGGGTCACCACCACATGGGAAGCTGTATTAAAGGGCTGTGGCACTAGGAAGGTTGAGAAGCACTGCTTTAGAGAGAAAGATGTATGATAACTGAGAAGTGGGATGTGTTGTCAGTTAGGATCACTTGGTGTTCCTCATAACAAAATCTGGTAAGTTGCAAATAAACATGCTTTTCTTTTTGTTTCCTGTAAAGGGTTATGAATCTACCTCATTCAAAATTAGCCTTGTATTACTAGAAAACAAACTTTCTTCATTAAAAATGAGAGGGCAGGGAGAAGATGGCAGATGACACCATATATCCACACATGTCCGCTGGCACACAGAAAATGTGCCTGCCAACCCAGCCCGGGCATAACGGCAGTGAGTAGAGTCGTTAGACAAGTCGACGCTGACCTCATTAAGTCTCACCCAAGTGAAAGACAAAGAACTGCCCCTATAAGAAAATAACTGTTGTCTTATTTTCTCCTGTTTGAAACAATACTTCCTTTCCTTCTCATTTAATATATAGCACAAGTTACAACACAAATTGCTCAACATTCACTAAGGTAGGGCTTCTACAAACCAGGTGCAGCACTATGAGTCCTACAACAAAAGGAGAGGGGAAAAAGGTGATACAAACTTCAACAACTTTAAAGTCCAAAAGGTAGTA